GTGGGCAGATAAAAAATTTAATGAAAATTATGATAAACTAAATCAATTTCTCATTCTATTAGTTGAACGATGTACGAGATATTTTCCAATTGAAATGGCCCGTGGTGCCATACCCAAAGAATTACGCGAAATGCTCTCCTACAGTCGTGCTCTTGGTTTTAGAGCAAAGAGAACAGGTGATGTACGACTTAGAGTCGAATCAACAAGAATTAGAAATATAGTACGTAGTGAACTCAAACAATTCAGACAAAGTCAATTAGTAAAACAATTAGCAGAAAGACATAAACCTAGAGGAGGTTCAATGATGTTTTGGAATAGAACAAAAAAACATTTTAGAAATTGCTCTTCGTCTCTACGTGGATTTTTACTGCCCAGTGGTGAAACAGTAAAAGAACCATCGACCATGGCTGATTTAGCCGCGGATTATTATGAAAAGCTCTTTGAAGAGCCTGTTGTATATAGACCGCATCCAACCTACGACGTATATGAGGATAGTCAAAGACAAATACCTCTGGTAACATATCCCGAGATACCCGAGATTAAAATCGAAGAAGAAAAAACGTTCGTGCGATATACATGGTCTCTCGCCATTCATTCTGGGTAAAATGCCCGAAAATTATTGGCATTTAATGATAGATTTATACAATCACTCCTTTCGAACTTGTCAAATGCCAAGTAAATTCAAAGAAGTTAGAATGGTGTTGTTAGCCAAGAAAGATGCTATTTGTAAGCCTGATCAAACTAGACCAATTTCATTAATTGACAGCTTCCTGAAAGTACAGGAACGACTGCTTCTAAATCGATTCTTAGAAGTAATTAAAGCGAAAGATCTATTACCCGATTCACAGTCAGGATTTCGAATGGAACATCGATTACAGACTCGAGTTCTATTACTAATCGAACAAATACAGTCATATATGTCTAATAGTTCACCGGTAGCAACAATATATGTGGACTACAAATCAGCCTTTGATCAACTTTGGTTCAAAGGATGTATAGACAAATTAAAAAGAAAAGGAATTCCGATTCCATATGTTAATTGGATACATGCTTGGTTAATTAAAAGGCACGCTGTCATTGAGATCGCGCGTGTTAAATCTCGGTGGTTTGAAATAATGAAAGGTGGTCCTCAAGGATCCAGTTTTACTGCTACTCTATTCATCACCTACCATGCAGATATGGAATATTTCATCCCAGGAGCTATGTCCTTTTTGTTTGCCGCCGATTTAGCTGCTGTACTTGCTGGACAAATTGGAATTAAATTTACGCAACGGTATATGGAGCTTGAAAAAAGATTACACATCTTCTTCGAACAATTAGAATTTTATGTAGTATTAACTGTACAACCGATCAATTGCATCAAAACAAAAGGCATGTTTTCAGCACGTGCAATTAATTACCCGAACCCGATGCCTGATATCAGATGTGAGAAAAATGAGATTGAATGGGTCAAAGTATTCAAATACCTTGGCTATTGGTTAACAACGAAGTTAGGATGGGGAAATATGATAAACCAAGCGTGTAAGAAAATTCGTCAGCAAACAGCAATGATCAATTCTATTAGAGTTAGTGACACAACATCCATTCCGCTACGAATAGCATTGTTCTCAACCTTTGTTATACCCTTCTTTACTTGGCTATTTGCTCTTTATCCGCTATTTACCAACTGCCAACGTTTGACACTCAGCCACTTTTACTATACATCGCTGAAACGTGTCTATCACTGCTTACAGTGGGGAGATCTCTATTTCTCCTATACATATGCTGAAAAATCACTAGACGATCATTGTTATAATTACTGGCTAAAGTACTTGAATGCTCTATCACAATCGAATGACGGACATTTGTTAGATGAGCAGTCTGTTACTAACAGGTATTGTTATATATGGCAAGAGAAAAGGGAGTCAATAAGATGCCTGAGAGTGTCAAAGCGATTCGTCGAACATACAGATGTTTTATGTAGATGTCTGGAATGGGTTTCAAATCATGGATTAAGTAACTCTGTACCTGTCCAAAGGCAGATTATCGGTTTGCATCAGTTCCTCTGGCTAAAGATGAATAGGCTCGTGCCTACCGGCAGATAAAATAACACAGATCCATTTATCGATCTTAAAATAAGACGCCACAAGTCGCTCAAAGATTAGACGCGTAGATAGGCGATCATTCTTATCGTCATCCGTCTTATTTTGCGATCTATATATACATCGAATCGTCAAGCGACTTTTGGGCTCTTATTTTAAGACACATTTATTTTTTAGAGTGCATCAATGCACTCAGGCATATCAACAAAACAACAAACAATACTTTGATACTTCGCTTTTAGTGATAGACTGTAATGTATTTCAAACAAGAAAGCAGGCCAACGACATTCATTTCAATACTCATTTTCATCTGACTTCACAGTAAAAGCATTCCATCGACCCTTCTTGACTTTTCACTCGAATAAATTGTCCATCAACATGCACTACTACCCACTCGTCAGTCTGATCAGAAATAAAATTACAGATCTCTCTTTCTTTAATGAATGTTCATATATTTTCATATCTTCATTTAGACATAGAACAATCAGAACTGTGCACTGAGAACTGGATTCAAGGTGTCCAAGAACCCAACTACCCCAAAATCACAACATAAAGCTCATGCCAATACAACTCCTATGACCGACATTGATCAACGACGAAACTTTGAAAGCAATACTATCATCTGGCTGGATGAGAGCGCCAACACTTCCGAAGACAATGCTCGATCAAAAGCTCAACTGCGTCGCACAATCAATTATCTCAAAGTATTTGACAATGCTGATGAATGTATTGATTACATATCTACCGTACAAACAGAAAACATCTTTTTAATCGTGTCTGGTTCATGTGGACACACAGTAGTCCCACTCATTCACGATATGAAACAAATCGAATGCATCTACATATTCTGTTCCAACAAACAGTGGCACGCCAAATGGGCCAGCCACTTTCCCAAGGTTCATGGTGTTCACACGGACATACAACATGTCTGCGAAGCGGTGAGCAAAGACATTCGTAATTGTTCGAAGGACATGATAATACCGATGAATGTTATGTCGTCATCACCGTCGAACACACATAACAACAGACAAGAAGCATCATTCATGTACTCTCAGCTCCTCATCGAGATTCTGTTTGAACTGGAAAACACTCCTACATCTAAACAAGAGATGATCGATGAATGCCGAAGACAGTATCAAGATAATGAAGAAGAACTGACGATTATTGCTAAGTTCGACAAGGACTATCAAAAGCATCAAGCTATTTGGTGGTATACGCGCGAGTGCTTTTTGTACCGAATGTTGAATAAAGCACTGCGCATACAAGACACTGACATTCTCTTCAAGTTTCGCTTCTTCGTCAAAGATCTTCACGATCAACTTATCACACTGCACTCAGAGTCCAATTATGAAACATCAACACTCACTGTTTATCGTGGACAAGGCATGGTACCTGAAGACTTTCTGCAGATGAAAGACAATATAGGCGGGTTTCTATCAATGAATAGTTTCTTGTCAACAAGCACAAGCAGAGCTGTCAGTGTTAAGTTTGCTGAACAATGCTTAAACCGTGACGGTGTCGTATCCGTTCTATTTGAAATGGATATTCACGTTTTGAAATGCATTAAACCGTTCTCAAACATTGCACACCTCAGCTATATCAAAACTGAGAATGAAATCCTTTTCTCGATGGGAA